GAAGCACAGGCTACTGGAGAGAAAGAATGGGCTAGGAGAACATAGAACATCGGCTGCTGCACTTTATGCATACATGTACTCAAGAGGATCCTGAGAAAGTCTGGGTAGTAGTATGGGTGGGGGTAGCTGTTCCCAGGAAGTAACAAAGATTACAGTCTAGAACCCCTTTCCTTCCTTGCCATGAACTAGCTAAGAAAAGTGAAAAGGGAGAGGGAGACACCAGATAGCAGATATGGTGGTGCAAGGAGTGCCAAGCTTCCAGAAATAAGTACCTAGGAAATTACTTTCTACCTCTCTCAAGAGCTCCATCCAAACTTCAGCCCACCCCTGAAGCAACCCCAGCACAGAACATGTTGCTGTCTGGCACAGCTGACTGAACATTACTGTGCCTCTTCACAGCTGCTGGAGTCAAGAGTAGAGAGGCAGGGAAAGAAGTGAGCACTGGGAAACACAGGAGGTGTTGGGGATCACTACTCTAAGGGAAGGGAATAATGTATTAAAGCAGGTTAAGTCATGGTATAGGTACACGCTATACTCTGTAACAGAGAAATCCAAGGAAAAAGCACAGGGGTTAGCTGCAGAAGTTAGCAAAGGGATGCAGATATTAACACAAGTTTAGTCAGGATTAGGAGATATTACAAATTATTATACAACGTCAAAGTGAAAAGGTACAGCTTACAGAAGACAGCAGAGCCCCACTTGATCCTACTTTTAAGGGGCAGACTGATTAGCAAGTAATCAGTCTGCCCCTTAAAAGTAGGATCAAGTGGGGCTCTGCTGTCTTCTGTAAGCTGTACCTTTTCACTTTGACGTTGTATAATAATTTGTAAGCTTGTATCGAGATACTTTTAAAATAATATGGGATTTCAATTTTTGAACTAAAGATTTAAGGAGAGAGATTAAGCTATGTAGAACATTTCTAAAAGTAATGCAAAATACTTGTGAAAAGCTGCATTAAAGATTTCTTGGCAACTCAAGATACCTTTGAATACAGGCCTGAAGGAATACTGTGTCCCTGGGATTCCACACTTACCCTACTATCTCAACAGCATCATTAAGATAAGGATCAACTATCATTGACTTCACAATGTCCCAATTTCCGTCCGCAGCGATGATGCCAATGTTCTTTATACCCACTCTGTCCATTGTTTCACGCAGTACCTTGGTAACAAATAATACACTTGAAATATAGCTTTCATCAACCAAGTGGCATGATATTATTAATCTTTCAAGTAAAATAGTAAGGAAAAGGTCACTGGCAATTTGACATTTATGTCAAATAACTAGAAAGCCAGGATTGCACATATAGTTAAATCCATCTGAATATGTAGTTTTCACAGGGATTTAAACACTTTAACTGTATGAAGATCACAGTGAGGCTGAGGGTAATCATTCTAAGTGAACAGGCATACGAAGTATGTCGGCAATCCTTAAAACTATAATATAATCACCAACAGCATTCATATAACTACTTAAGGTATCTAACTGCTTGAGGGTTTTTTGTTACCAGTTCTTAATCTCAAAACCTGTTTTGATACGAGAGTTCAGCCCTACAACATACAGCTTTAATAAAAAGAGTGCCTTCATGTCTGTCCAGAACAGTAACTAGGGCAAACTCAATAAACTATAACTACATCTCCACAAACATGGGATTGAACAGGTTCATAATTAGCCGCTCACCAGGTCGTTTGTTGCAAGTGACTTTGCCCTCCAGGCAATCATGAAGGGAACTTAAAGGATTCATATAGGGCAGTGATGGGGAACCTTTTAGAGACCGAGTGCCCAAACTGCGACCCAAAACCCACTTATTGATCGCAAAGTGACAACACGGCAATTTAACCTGAATACTGAGGTTTTACTTTAGAAAAAACAAACTCATACATTAACTTAAGATGATCCAAACAAAGTAAGGAAAGCAATCCCAAATGCTTTCATTTACTTAAAATTATTTGGCAGAGAATTTGACACTTTAATGATGGTCTGGGCCTGGCTGGGGTGATGGCACGTGTGCCCACAGAGAGGACTCTGAGTGCCACCTCTGGCACCCGTGCCATAGGTTCACCACCACTGATATAGGGAGACACACAATTATTTAAGACATAAAAGTATGAAATGGTTTTACACATTAGATTTGGGGGTGCTCGACTAGTACCACAATAAGGTAGGCTTGGTATCCACTGGCTTTCATTTTGGAACTTATGTCCAATACTAGATTTTTTTAAAAATCTTGTATGTGAACGCTGCACTTAGTAGCATTTAGTCATACAAGAACTAATCTAAATAATGAAAGAATGTATTTTATAAAATAACTGCAGTAGTGTTGCCTAAAGAGTAGAAACACAGGAGATTTAAAGCCAGCATTGCAATCCTAAGCAAGGTTAAAGGTAAAGGTAAAGGTTTCCCTTGCTCGAAAGCCAGTCGAGTCCGACTCTAGGGTTGCGGTGCTCATGTCCGTTTCAAAGCCGAAGAGCCAGCGCTGTCCGAAGACGTTTCTGTGGTCATGTGGCCGGCATGACTAAACACCGAGGCGCACGGAACGCTGTTACCTTCCCACCGAAGTGGTACCTATTTATCTACTTGCAATTTCTTGCTTTCGAACTGCTAGGTTGGCAGGAGCTGGAACTAGAGACGGGAGCTCACTCCGTCATGCGGCACACTCGGGTCTCGAACCGCTGAACTACTGACCTTCCACAGCCTGCAGTTTAGCGTCTTAACCACTTGAGCCACTGCAGCTCCACTAAGCAAGGTTACAGCTTTCTAATTGGTATCATTTCCTGAACAAAGAATTCTAAAAACTTTCCTTAAATTTAGTCTGGAGTCAATTTGCAATACTAATACTCTTCTAAAACACAAACACATGATTAAGTAGCTTGATTTAATACAACAGCTGTAAAATCAAACAACTGTCTTTTTAAAAGTTTAAATCATCAGTCTTATAAACAAGCATTCCGCATAATATGAAGGTCATTAGAACACATCACATAGAGTAAATCAGCACTGCTAACAACCTCATCTCTCTGTAGCTAGCTTTCTATTGTATCTTCATTTTCCTAAATCCAACAAAGCAAGCTAATACTGTAACAACCTAAAAACTGCTCAGGAGGAGTTATCAGCTGAAGAATCAAAAAACAAAAGCCGAATAATACTGTTTAAGACCACCCTAAACAACACAATGTGCAAGCTTGCACACTCTCCAGAACTACATAAGGCTTTTGGTTATGGAGTTCGCTATGGGCCAAGGCAGCCACCTACTTCTTTTGCCAACTGTAACAGGGGCACAGTGCTAGCCCTGAAAGAACTCAAACAAACCAAACGTATCTTAAGTTTGTTAAACCGAGTAAGGACTTAATTCACAGAACGAAAAACGTCTGTAGCACGGGTCAATATACAGAGCTGACTCCCAAACTATTACAAATTAAAGCTTTCCTTGCAGCCGTTGCTGTTAAGACTTTGTGCTGTGTGCAGCAACTAAATGGACAGAAGAACCCACACTGGCAAGTGATCTCATCACTTGCATCTAGGACTGGAGTTTTCCTGGAATTACACATGGTCTCCAGATAAAAGAGACTGGTTCCCCTGGAGAAAACAGCTCCTTTGGAAGGTGGACTATACGGCATTGTACCCCACTGAGGTCTCTCCCCTCCCAAAACCCTGCCCTCCCCAGGCTCCACCTCCAAAATCTCCAGCAATTTCATAATCCAGAGCTGGCAGCCCTACCTGCACCCATGCCAAGTTCTACTAACCATTCAACAGCTATGCACCTGCAGGCTCCTACAGCCAAGTCCTGGCAACTGCCACAGTTCCTCCTGATGCCCTCCGGTAAAGACATTAAATTCCCTTCCCCACAGCCCTCAACAGCAGGAGCTAGAATACTCACAGCAACTCTTCACATGAACCATTGCCAGGGCTTTTTTTTCCTGGGGGAACGTTCCGGAACAGAGTTCTGGGACCTCTTCAACAAAATTCTTTTTAAAATGTTTAAAAGTTCATGAGTTTTCAATATACTCTCAAGAGTTCTGGCACCTCTTCCCCCCCCCAAAAAAAAGCCCTGACCATTGCTCCAACAAACATTCAATCAGAACAAAAAAAGATTAAAATTATTTTAAGAATACCTGTACTAAGAACTGGACATTAGTTTGGACAGGAGAAATTTTCTGCATATCTTTATCAGGAAGACGTATTATTTGACAGCAAACAAGCCATTAGTTGAAAATAAGCAAATGATGCCAAGACAAGGTGGGACTGCTTTTCAGGATCTGTTTACCAAATGAAATAATCTTTCAAGTTTGATGCAGCAATCCTATGCATACCTACCTGGGAATAAGTCCCACTGAAGTCAGAGGGACTTACTGCCAAGTAAGTACCCATAGTATTGGGCTTAATTATAGGATTTTTATTTAACTTAAAATATAGTAAGTTTTCCACATTGCTTAGTTGATAGCTCAAAGAAAAAGACCTCACAGAAGAGCAGACCATATACCTACCAGCAGCATTACATAACAGATGGAGGATTCATTTTAGTATTCAATTCCCCGGACAGCCCTAACTTTACTGGATAGTGTGGTATAAGATCTCAGCCTAACTTATTTCACATGGCTATTGCAAGAGTAAAATGAAATGAAGATATAGTATAACTTGTTGCAAGTCATAACCCTAGGGACAGGAGAAATTGCAATTTATTGTTAAATAAACTCAACTGATAGAAAGATGTGTCTCATTTTATGTAAGTCCCCATTTAATGACACAAAATAGTGACAAAGATGGATTGAAAGGTTCCCATGGCAGTTAAAAAAAGTATGTCAGAATAAATCACTGTTAAGTCTACAAATACCAAAATATTTTAGCACACATTAAGCCTTGGAACTCCTGTTGAGCGAATAGCTACGTTTCAATAATGTTAGCTTACAAGTTTATACTTCTCAAGCTTTTGTGTTGAGTTACACATGCAAGGTAGTAGTTTAATATTTTATCAAATAAGCAAATCTTATCAATTAGCCTACCTTGATATATTTACTGTTAAAAGTCCGTTCATTCCAGATCTACAAGGCAATCAGAGGTTGTTAGTTCAGAAGCATTATGAAGTTGTTTAAGAACAGGTAGCAAAAATTGATTCAGTCACAGCCAAATACTAATCCAATCTCTGATACTCAAAGCCCAGCTACATAAGCTACAGAACATGAGGATCAAGCCAAAAGTTCAGCAAACAGAAGGTACTGCTCTGCTGTCTAAACTGAAGAATAAGGCTTAGCTCCTAGTATTCCTATCACACAAATTTACACCAAATCATGCTTAGCAGTAAACTGGAAACAAAAGGAAGCCATACCACCCATGGGAGGGTGAGGGGTCAACACATGGCTTATAGCCACACCATCTAGGGATATGAGGCATAATATAGAACACATGATATCATTGTTTGTGTATACAAACATCTGTGTTGCTTTCATGTTCCTGAATAGTAGTTTTTAGGAACTGGCAATTTTACTGTGTCTTCACTGTGGAAGATGGGAGGTGCCTGCCCACTCGAGAACTGCAGATTTCAGGAGATGTTACTGAAAGACCTGAGTCAGATTGATGTGATGAGAAAGGAGGTCCTATGACTGACAGACAACTTAAAAACTGACCGCTCACCAGGCCCGGATGGCACACATCCAAGAGTCCTCAAAGAACTCAAATGAAACTTGTGGATCTCCTGACAAAAATATGCAATCTGTCACTAAAATCTGCCTCCATACCCAAGGACTGGAAGGTAGCTCATGGAACCCCCATCTTTAAAAACAGTTCCAGAGAAGATACAGGAAATTACAGGCTGGTTAGTCTAACATTGATATTGAGTAAGTTGGTGGAATTTGTTATTATAGATAGAATTAGTAGGCCCATTGATGCACAAAAGCTATTGAGGAAGAATCAGCATGTATTCTGTATGGGAAGATCTTATCTCACTAATCTTTTAGAGTTCTTTGAGGGGGTGAACAAACATATGGAAAAGGGTGACTTAGAACATGTTCCCAATGAAGAAAGGTAAAACAGGTTAGGGCTCTTTATTTTGGAGAAACGATGATTGAGGGGTGACATGATAGAGGTTTACAGAATTATGTGTGGGACAGAGAAGATAGAGAAAGAAGTACTATTCTCCCTTTCTCACAATACAAGAACTAATGGGCACTCAATGAAATTAATGAGCAGTAGGATTAGAACAGATAAAAGAAAATACTTCTTCACCCAAAGAGTAATTAACACATGGAATTCACTGCCACAGGAAGTGGGGGCAGCTACAAGCATAGACAGCTTCAAGAGCGGATTAGATAAACATATGGAGCAGAGGTCCATCAGTGGCTATTAGTCACAACAAGGTATAGAGGGAATACTACGTCTGGGACAGTGATGCTCTGTATTCTTGGTGCATGGGGGGGGGCAACAGTGGGAGTGCTTCTGGAGTTCTGGCGCCACTGGTGGACCTCCTGATGGTACCTTGGTTTTGGGCACTCTGTGACACAGAGTGTTGGACTACATGGGCCACTGGCTTGATCCAACATGGTTTCTCTTATATTCTTATATATTGTGTAAGACAACCTGAACAGGTGTCCACAAAAACATGTGGACAAGGGGGACCCAATAAATGTTGTTTACCTTGACTTCCAGAAAGCTTTTGATAAAGTTCCTAATCAAAGGCTCCTAAGTAAGCTCAATAGTCATGGGATAAAAGGAAAAGTTCTTTTGTGGATCAAAAACTGGCTAATTAATAGGAAACAGAGAGTGAGTATAAATGGGCAATTTTCTCAGTGGCACTCAGTTGGGTTAGAGCAGTCAGGTTAGAAAAGATAAAAAGAAGTACTTCTTCACCCAAAGAGTGATTAACACATGCAATTCACTGCCACAGGAGGTGGTGGCGGCTACAAGCATGGACGGCTTCAAGATGGAATTAGATAAACATATGGAGCAGAGGTCCATCAGTGGCTATTAACCACAAGGTATAGATAGGAACTCTCAGGCTGGGGCAAGTGATGCACTGTATTCTTGGTGCGGGGGGGAAACCAACAGTGGGAGGGCTTCTAGTGTCCTGGCCCCACTGCTGGACCTCCTGATGGCACCTGGTATTTTTGGCCACTGAGTGACAGAGTGTTGGACTGCATGGGCCATTGGCCTGATCCAACATCGGCTTCTCTTATGTTCTTATGAATGCAAAAGGCAGCATGTATGTGTTTTTAACAGATACAAACATTTTTAAAGAGTCAGTTATATAGAAAATACACTGCTGAGTCAGATAAGTTTAGCAAGTCAGACCTGAAACATATTCAAAAATGACAGCAAAGACTGCAATAATTTTTAAAACAAACTGCTATACTAACCCCAATGTAGTCAATGTCCAAATCATGAAATCTTTTAGCACCTATAATCCACGAGACAATATAATAAGCAGTGACATCTGGATGGTGATAGGGCCAGTTCTCACCTCTCCCAATCCACCCCGGAAAAGCCCATGGCAGCCCTGTAAAGAGAGAGAGAGGGACAGAAGGGGGGGGGGGGAAACGTTTGTAAGCAGAATATGCTAAATAAATGCTTCCTAGATAAATGACCGCCTTCATTAATTGGAAATGTATTGCACACTACATCAAGTGAAAAAAATATATAATCATCAAGTGGTTATGACTACATGAAACACCTCTGCAGACTACTCAAATTAGCATACACTTCCTGATAGTATGGTGCAAACAGCTTATAATTAGGCTTCAGGGAAAGGCTGTGGTTCAGTGGTAAAACACATTTTTCACATAGGAGCTTCAAGCTTTAATTACTGGCATCTCCATTTAAATTATCTCCAATAGTCAGGGCTAGAAGCTACCTTTATCTTCCACAGATCCTAGACAGCTCCCACTAGTCAGACTAGAAAATATTAACCGCAGTAAAAGACAACTTCACATGTTGAAGAAGAAGAGGAGATTGGATTTATACCCCGTCCTTCACTCTGAGTCTCAAAGTGGCTTACAAACTCCTTTCCCTTCCCCTCCCCACAACAGACACCCTGTGAGGTAGGTGGGGCTGTGAGAGCTCTTTCAAGAACTGCTCTTTCAAGGACGGCTCTTGTCAGAACTATGATTTGCCCAAGGTAATCCAGTAGCTGCAAGTGGAAGAGTGGAGAATCAAACCCGATTCTCCCAGATTAGAATCCATGGCCCGTGCACTTAACCACTACACCAAACTGGCTCAAAATGTTCAACAACAGTCTTGAGAAGACTGCAATCCAATACTTAAAATTTTCAAACATATGCTTTGACGATTCTACCATAATAATAGTTTGTAACATTGCTAACAATACACTCTGTTTTTAAAACTTATTTGCTTATCAGCATGCTTTAGGATTGAGTTACAGCAGTGTCAGGAATGATGAGCTGAACTGACAAATATTGCACCTAATAAAGGAATTGGAAAGCCATTTGATTAGAATGAGATGTTATTCAGAAATAATTACTGAAGAAGAAGGTTAAAATGAATCTGGGTACACGGTCCTGTATTAAACTCTCCTTTACGGGAAATATATTAGCTGTAGAATAATTTTTTTTCAGAGACCATGTCTCAAGCAGGCTGGATGGAAAGGCAGCACAGAAATCTACATAAATAAATTTTACCATTTTTCAATATGTACAACAGATAAGCAGAAAAATAGGACATTATAAATTAGTTGGGCCTCCACGAAAAAAACAGAGAAACTCTGAAAACCTGCTTGATAAGAACTAAATATGCCCCAACCAACACAGAATGTTGACATTAGCGGAATGTCGGGGAGGGGGGGACACAGGGAATTCGATTGTTGTTTATTTAAAATATGTATGTCCCACCTTTCCTATATAGCTCAAGACTTATGAAAAATGACCACAGACCACAGTAACACATTTAAAAAGATATGTATATTCAAACACAAAAACAAGCCATCTTATTCACCTGTTGAGATTTCTATACTGTGCCCCTCTCCACCCCACAATTCCTCACGGGCCCCCAGCTTGTTATCCCTATATCAAAGTATCTTAGAACTGGATGGAATCTTTCTAACAAAAAGAAAATAGGAGTAAAGTCAGGATGAAAAAAAGAATAAGAAAATCTTAACTTTGAATTTAGTGCGAAATAACTTTGTTGTCAAGGTAAGTGAACCTGAAAACCCCTAGGCACCTAATTGCTCCTAAACAATGCTGGTACCTAAGGATCAGAAATGTTTTCTCTGCACTGCGCAAAGCTAGTGGCTTAGATTCTCTTACTGATGGGAAGGAGTGATCCTAAACATAAACACATACAGCCACAAAAAAGAATTTACACTGTATTGTGTGCATCAAGCAGGCCTTTTATTCTATATTTTATACTGCGGTGGCGCAGGCAGTAAGTGAAGCCTGCATTTACATCTGGCCGAACAGCTCCGGCTGTTTGAGCCCCACCATGGCCAGGGTGAGCTCCCGGCCCTATGTCCCAGCTCCCGCCCACCCAACGGCTCGAAAGCCCGTTAAGGGCAAATAGACAAATGGGTACCTGCTCTTAGAGCGGGGGGGGGCACCAGTCCCTTGCGGTGTAGCGGCGGCGTGAGCGGCGGTGGAGAAACATGGCGGCGGCTGGCAAGGCAATGCGAGTGAGAGGAGGCTGGGCCGGCAAAGCACAGACGCGGGGCGACACAGCAGGCCGGAGCCTACTGGACAGAGGCCGGCAGCGAGCAAGCGCGGAAGTGCGCTTGGTCCAAGCCCGAAGGAGTCGCAACAGCCAGGAAGTTGCAAAAACCAAAGACCAGCGCCAGGAGGATATCGTTGAACGAGCTCCCACAGACAACAACGACTCGCTACAGGGTGCCTGGTAGGCTAGTCACTCTCCCCCTTGTATGTATGTGGCCCTAGGTTACGATTGGCATTAATGGAACATGTAAACCACTCAGAGCCCTCAGGGGGTGAGAGGTATATAAACTGAAGGGAATAAATAAATAAACACTGTTGCACATCAACCTGTGTACTGGAACAGCCTGTAGTTAAGTATGAATCACAGGAGTATTTTCAGATTACAGGAACAGAATGCTGAGACATTAAATATCTGAGTCCTTACCAATTAATTTAATGTTAGGGTTCCTCTTTTTAGCTTCTTTCATCAGCCACCACTCATAACCACGGAAATAATTCTCATCGTTTTCATAGTGCATATGGGATGGTTCCGTTCCATCTGTGAGAGTCAAAACAAACTTATTTCTTCAGTGCAGTAAATGCAAAACATACTACACAAAGTCCTTCGCAGGAGTATCCAATATATTTCCCAGACCACACACAAAACCACATATGTACAATAGTACTAGGAGGTACCTGCAAGAAATCAGAATGAAATCCCCTCATTGGCCTCTACTTTCTCTTCTGCCTTCTGACACATACCAGCCACCTGTCCCTCTTCCACCGTCCCCACCTATTTCTTTCCTTTTGCACCCTTCTCTTACTTCTTTATAACCAACCTCCTCCCTGACCTCCCACTGTCCCCTCTTACCTGGATCCCCCTTTCCACCACCACCACCACCACCTTCTCGCCACCATGAAGGAAAGAAAGTGACATAAGGTGACATTTGGAGGAGGCAAGTGCTGAACACAGAATATGCTTGGGCAGAGAGGAAGTGACAGCAGAGCACTAACTCTGTTTCCACTCTTCCATCACATACCCCAGCAGAAGTGACCAAGCATGTTTGGCATGTTTGCAAGTGGTAAGTAAGGCTAAGCACGAAAATAACCGTGTTTGGTAACATGCTGCACGTACAGATGAGACATGGAGGGAAGGGTGTACCACAGGTATCCAAGGTAATTTTTACTTCCTTTCCCCCCACTGCTTTCCTGGACTGATAACATACCAACACTTTAAGATCATAGAGTTGGAAGAGATCTCCAGGGTCATCTAGTCCAACCCCCTACACAATGCAGGAAATTCACAAATACCTTCCCCTCCACACCCACAGTGACCGCTGTCCCACATCCAGAAGATGACAAAAAACCTCCAGGATCCCTGGCCAAACTGGCCTGGAGAAAAATTGCTTCCTTTCCCAAAGTGGCAATCAGCATTTCCCTGGGCATGTAAGAAAGGGCCACAAGAACTAAGCACTGAGGCAACCCTTCCTGCCCTACCTCTCATGATCTGCATAAGTTCACACAATCAGCTTTGCTGTCAGATGGTCATCTAGCCTTTGTCTGAAAACCTCCAAAGAAGGAAAGGCCACCACCTCCTGAGGAAGCCTGTTCCATTGAGGAACCACTGTAACTGTCAGGAAGTTCTTCCTAATGTTTAGCTGAAAACTCTTAACAAAAATAAACTTATTGACTTTTCTTTAGAACAGCTTATAAAAAGTGATTGGGTGTAGCACATAAAAGGGTGTAGGGCACATAAAAGTGTGTACCAAAACAGTAACTACAGCTAAGGAATGGCACTCTAAACCCAGGGATACCAGACTACTGAAATAGTGTTTATCTCATCTCTCAGGATTTTTACCTTAGTCCCCTCACACGTCACTAACATGCCATTTCTCTGAGGTAACCTAACCTGCCTATCACAGAATACCTATGCTAATCCTTCCCTTCTATAGGTGTTTGAGCCCTAACCACCTAGCTCTAGGTCTGAGTCCTATCCATTCTCTCTCTCTAACAAATCTACAGCTTCCCAACAGTTGAAAATTCTAGAGAGTTCCATACACAGCAAGGAATCAGCAACTGGTTGTAACACATGAAGGGCAGAGCCAGAAGCCATCCATTATAGAGGGAACCTGCATCCAACCACAAACTCTCTCCCAGCAGAAACACAGTTGGCTCTCAGCACCCACCTTATCTGGCCAACATCTTCTCCCCGCTCTCACCCAGTGCCAACCTAGCAGTGAGCTCCCTGCCAGAGCAAACATCACCATGCAATAGCTCCACAGCTGCCAATGGCTGTGAAAAGTACTGGGTTCGCCGCATGGAGGACTCGGACGATGACATGAGTTGCACACGTTTATTGTACTTAACACAAGACTGACTAAAATAGCCCTGCAAGGCCAACTATATACACACCCACTTAGCACAGCCTTAGTCCATTGGAGGGTTTGAATTTCCCGCCAAAGTGGCTATTGGTTGGGGCTGGGGGGGACTAGGATCCTATGTTCCTATTGTCCAGGGGAGCCAAGCTCCTACCTTTGCTGCGGACCCCTAGTGGCGGTCTGCATACATAACAGGCTGCCTGCCTGGCTCCCTCACTCCCCAGCCAGCAGCCCCTCCTTTCATTGTTGCATTGTTTGCATATTTGCCTGTCCCACCTGCTGCCAGCTCTGCCCTCCCTAAGACACTGCCAGTCAGCTGATTTAGCATGGCTTGGAGTGGAAAGGAGGATAACATTTCCCACTATTTTTCTTCCAACGAATTCCAGATGCCCTTTTCACAGCCTATTCTAACCCTTTCCAGGCAGTGGTTATGGGGCTTGCTAGCAACCCCCCTAATGACAGCCATGATCTCACGGTACTGTGCACAAGTACAGACATCATCTCTGGCCTGTGGCCTTTGTAAAAATCCTTGATTTCTGTTTTAAAATTTGGGGATTTTTACACGTTTCTTACTTACAAGATGAAATAGATTCTCTTCTGGATATGGGTTAAATTGGATTAGACAGATAACATCAACAAATTGTTTAAAAAATGTAACTCTAAATGCCTTCAATATGTCAAGTCACCACCTAACCATCATTTAGCTTTACAAGATCTATGCTTGGGAGAAAGCAAATCTCACCTACTCATCTAACAGCGTGATTTTAAGGATGCTTACTGGGAAATAAGTGTTACAAAATATCAATGAGACTTATAGCCAAATAAGTCATGATACAAGACACTGCTTGATTTTTCAGGAGACACTCTCCTACATTTCTTCATATAAGTTACTATGGATCTCATGGGAACCAATTCCCAAACATGCCCTAAGATATGAAAATTGGTTGTTCAAGTAAATCCTCAGAATGTTCTTCAAACAGAATGTTCTTCTAAACTAACAACATAACATGAGGTAACACTAGCATGTAATTTCTTTCTCACAGGGTAGAAGACAGGTTTCCCTGTTTTTTTCAGCTCATGAACTATGCCTCTAATTCGTATAGTTCAAAATTTTTAAAAAACAATCACTTCAGAGAACCTAGCAGAAAAATCGTTATTGTCATCAGGTAAGGCAGACCTCAACATGTCAGTAATCAGAGAAATATGAAACCCAAATTTATAACATGGTCAAATGTCTTTCAGCTTTAATGGCTCAGGTCATTCATACCTGTTGACTGTGCATCACCACCAATTTCCACTTTGAGAATATGCAAAGCAGCACCAAAATTTGGCTGTAAAAAAAGACGGAAAAAGTGACTAGAACACATATTTCTATTACACATACAATAAAGTGCATCTGCTTTAATTTTATTAGATTTTTAAAAGTATAACACAACACACATATTTCATACGCCCAACTATAGAAAGAAACAGGCATTATAACAATTCACCAAATGCATAAGGAAACCCTTTCTCTTACCTTTATTCCAAAACACAAATTAATTCTTTAATTAATATTCTTTAATCAAAATGAATTATTTAATTCAAAGCACAAAATTAATTCTTTTTAATCTGAACCCTTTGATGATATGTTAATTCAGTTAAGAATGCAGCACTTCACACATAGTGGAGCCATTCACCCTCCAAAGGAGGATCTAAATTTTCCATTTCACAGCTATTGCCAATTTAGCAGAAGTACACAAGCTCAAGACCATATGAAAGGGCAACCTGTCCTTGCCCTTTGAGATAACCCAAAAGAATAACTTTTGGATCAAGAGAGCCAGTTTGGTGTAGAAAGTGCAGTTTCTGTCAGAGCTCTCTCAGCTCCACCTACCTCACAGGGTGTCTGTTGTGGGGAGGGGAAGGGAAAGGAGTTTGTGAGCCGCTCTGAGACTCCTTCAGGTAGTGAAGGGCAGGGTATAAATCCAATCTCTTCTTCTTCTATATTATACCCAAACATTTCATTAAGATTAAGTGTACATTAAGATAGCTTCTATAGTTTCCATCATGCTGAAAGTGCACGCATGCTCAAAAATAGTCATGAGCAAACTGAAAGTTAACAGTAGATTCATGTGCATAAAACAGCTACATCTACCTTTCTAATCAGATACTATTAGAGGAACATCAATGTTCCCTCTAAGCTGTGGAGTCTTGTGAGCAAAAATTCTACTTTGTGAGCTACTGGCATTAAAGTTGTGAGTGAGCAATTTGGCTACTGCATAAAGTAGTTTGCTCTGGAGCTATCCTTCCTGAGCTAAGACAAAAATGTGTGAGCCAGAGCTAAAAAACAGTGAGCTAGCTCACCCTAACTCAGCTTAAGTGGGAACACTGGTTACCCTGTGTATGGCAAGAGGCCCATACAACAATACCACCATCTGGAAAGTTCATTTGGTTCAGAATTTGGCATTAAAGGTGTTAACAGGGTATCTGCCCTGAGGAGTCTAAGGCATCTCTCATATGTCATACTCACTGGGTACCAATTTGTTTTCAGACTTAGTTCAAAGGTCCTATGTGGCTCATGATCACGGAACCTGAAAGATAATGCTCTGCATGCCCATTTTGTAAGAAAAGTAGGCACAAAGAACAGAAGTCTCTCAACCACAGCACCTGAGCTTTGGAAAGCTTTGCACCTTAAAGACCACACCACACCCCCATTCATGGTTTTCCCAGTACCTTGGGAGGGGGGGGGGAATATCTTGACTCATTTAGTTTATTGTTATGGTTATATTACATTTTACTGAAATCTATGCTACAGCTAGGTTATAATTTGCTTTTATTATATCCACTGTTCATTGTTATATTGAATATATTTATAAATGGTTTTATATAGCGTAAGCTGCCTAAGTACAATAAACATTAACAGTATTCTATTGACTACTACCCAAGTCACCATTGCTCTTTCAGTGAGTTAAAAACAATATACAGGAAACAGGTAAGACGTATGAAATGCAATCAAAAGTAGTTACATAAACCACAGTAGCATGAGACTTTGGGGGGGGGGGTTGTGTGTATTCCTGGAAGTCATAGTTGACTTCTGGCAACCCCTAGTGGGGCTTGGACATTTCAGAGAGATGGCTTACTATTGCCTGCCTCTGCGTCCCTCAGCCCTGGTATTCCTTGGAGGTCTCCCATCCAAGTACTTGCCAGGGTTGGCCCTGCTTAGCTTCCAAGATCTGACGAGATCAGACTTGCCTGGGCTACCCAGGTCAGGGCAGTAGCATGAGACTTTTTGTTATCCATAATTCAGACCCTATTATATGGTGGACTAGCTAGCCGCATTAAGCAAGTCATAGATAAAAACTGGCACATTGTAGCACACTTACCTGGCTGTGACAGACCACCATATATTGGTTTCAGGAAGGATTGTAACCTCAGAAACCTTCTAGTCAAATCAGACATTGCGACCTTTAGTGATGAAACTCCTAAACCTGCAAGTGGATTTCACAGATGCCGTAGATGTGCAGAATGCAAATTTATGATTGAAGGGGAAATTTTTGAGAATCGGACTCAGGAAACACGCGTCACCTGTTCTAGCTTCTCCGTGTGTTCCACTAAAAACACTGTCTATCTTTCAGTCTGTCCGTGTGGGTGCCAATATGTGGATACATCAACCAGATCAATTAGGAACCATGTGTTAGAACACAGATCGCGTGTTTCCAATCAAGTTAGCCTAGCTCCAATGATGGAACATTACCAGTAGACAGGGCATTCAGCAGAAGAATTTTTTTATATTGCATGTATACAAGAATAAAGCACACACCAGACAAAATATAAATTAAATTTTATTACAGAAAGAGGTGAGATTCATTTTTGAATTGAACACTTTAACACCCGTTGGCATGAATCAGAGTCTTGATTTTTCAGCTTATATTTAGATGCCTTTCCTTAAAGGATTAAATCAGTAGGCATCATATCCAATTGGTGTCATGTTTCTTATAGGGTATACATTTCTGACTAGGCTATTTTTATTCTTGTAATTAATATCAACAGGATTTAAGAGTGTCTGGATCTTACTGCTGAAAATTAGGTACTTTCCCTTTAAATAATAAGAACAGTTGATAGGAGATCAAGCAAAAAATACTCAGGTCTATTATAAAATACAAAATTAATGAAATTCATTATGGGGAGAGGCAAGATTTATTTTTGTTAGGGATCAAAACCTTAATATTATCTGAGAAGAAATCTAGTCTATATTCAGGTACTTTTCCTTTAAGGATGCTAGCAGCTATTGCAGTAGCTTGTAAATGAAGTACTTACTAACAGCAGGAGGTTTGTGAGCTTTGAGAACCATGGATTCCATTTGAGATATGAGCTGTGCCTAGACTATTGTGGAAATCTGGGTGAGTGTAAAATGTTCTTTTTATGATGTGTTGTTCATAAAGAAGCACTGGAATACATGTATTTTGAATCTCTCTTTGGCTTCTTGTTTTTCACTGTTATACTGTAGTTCCATTTTTCAGCCATGTAACTGAGGAAGAATGTTTTGAAATGTCTGGCATACCTGGGAAGGACGTATTTCGGGTGCAGAAGTTTCTTTGTTCTTTGGGACATCCTCTGCTCTGTTTGTGGACTTTGAAGTCCTTTGGACACTATTTCATGAAAGGATTCAGAGGAGTCTCTTGTTGTTTATTACCATTACAAGTGGAGACCCGCAAGAAACTTGCAGGATGGTTATCCTATTCCTCACAGCTTTGCTTCCTCCTGTCTCCCTCTACCTCTCTCACACTCTTTTTCCCTTCTGCCCCCCCTTTCTTTTTCTCCTCCAGCTATGGCATTATACTGATCTGTAGTTCCTTCCCTCCTCAATTACCTTTATCTGCCTCTCTGTCCTCAGCTTTCTGTCTCCACACCCCTCCCCCACAGCCGCTACCTAGGAAAATTATAGCCTTTCTCCACAGTGGAGACTAAAGCAGCTTACATTATTCTCTCCTTCTTTTATCTGCACAACAAACCTGTGAGGTTGGCTAGACTGAAAGTATGTGACTGGTCCAAAATCACCCAGTCAGCTTCCAACGCAAGATGGGGATCTGAACCTGGGTCTTGCAGACCCTAATCTGAAGCTCTGTTACATCACACTAGCTTTCATAGGGTGGCTGCTGATGAACAGTAGCAAGCAGCTGGGCCTAATTGAGTCATGCAAATCAGGTGGTATCAAGTCACCCAGAGAGTGCTGCCTAGGAATGCCCGCCTCCAGGTGGGACCTGGAGTTGCCTGGAATTACTGCTCATCTCCAGACTACAGAAATAACTTCTCACAGAGAAAATGGATACTTTGGATGGTGGACTCTGTGGCATTCTACCTCATTGAGGTCCCTGTCCTCCCCAGGCTCCACCCGCAAATCTCCAGGAGTTTCCCAGCCTGGATCTGGCAACCTTACCCACCATCCCCTGCCAGTGGCCAGGGGGGGGCTGGCGACCCTAAACTGCTGCCAGACCTAGGGTTGCCAACCTCTGGAGGAATTACAACTGAACTCAAGACAGCAGAGATCTGTCTCCCTGGAGAAAATGGCTGCTTTGGAGGGTGGACTCTGTGGCATTATACCCAGCTGAGGCTTCTCCCTTCCCCAAACCCAGCCCTCCTTACAGTCCACCTCAAAACCTCTAGGGATTCCCCAGGCTGGCACTGGCAACCCTTTGTCAGGCCTGGCCCCAAGGCTCTCTCCTTCCCTCCCACCGAGGCCAAAAGAAGCCAGGAAAGGGCCCTTCCCCCACCCTTTTACTGACGAAGCCCGTTGGAAGCCTCACACCCCCCCCCCCCCCACCTCCTACCACTTCTCTCACCACGCA